CTATCTCCGTCTTCAGGTTCCTACTCAGTTGGGCCCATTAGATAGAGCTAATCCCTATCTCCGGAGTGGGCCCAACTGAGTAGGAACCTGAAGACGGAGATAGAGCCCCATCTCCGAAACGTCGTTTTACGTTTTTTACGTTTTATTACTAGACGATGGATAATATCCAAGTAAATTTTTATTCAAGAAGGATTAAGTTTTTTGTGGATGGAGAAAATTCCATAATGAGGAGCTTGATAATTTGTGATCTTTACCAAATTTGATGAGACTTTAATCAATGAGCATGTGTTATTTACATTATCAACTTATATGACGTTGGGTGAAAGATGGAAACTGTTACACTTTACTCAGTAAATACCGCTGCAGTAATATTTATAAATCAGTTGTGGACGACATTAATTTTATTTATCTCTTGGTTTTATCGTTCTCGTAGTTTATGCGTTCCATAATTCTGCTTGTTCCTTGCACGCTGTGATATATAGGAGTGCTTATTATACGACGTTTATTACATACATTCAATACTTACGACAGTTTTATGCATTTACGAGGTCATGTAGATGTAATCTAATTAATCTATTTTACTTTAAAATCGAATGAATTGTAAGTTTACTGATAATTTTTCTTTTAATTTGTACAAAAAGGATCAACTATGTATGTCTAGTGAATAATAAGAACAAGGAATACAGATAAAAAACAATACAGTAATATGTAAAGAATGCTTACGATGTTCTATCGATATAATCCGAAGGATAGAAAATAAATCGATAGTTCGATAAAGCATCTTTGGTGGAATGTTAGGTTCTCAAGGTGGCGATTATGAATATGATTATCTTCTGGGATACTGATAGGAAGCTGCCTTCATTATCAGGGCCATGATGAAGGCAGAAAGCATATCTTAAACGTCGATAAATTTCTATATATGATCCAACATCCAGAAAGGAAGACATCTTCAGCGTTAATTCTCGTAAAAGGGTAGGCCTGGAACATAATTCGTTGTTTTCTGTACTGAAAAATATATCTTTGATAACTCTCATAGGCTACTGAATTAAGAATGTTTTTCGTAGAATTAACTTCTACGTTCCTGGTTTTAAGATTTAGCTTACAAGTTGCAATAATTTATAAGATAAGATGGAAATTTAGGTTTATATCCCAGTCTGTATTAGATACATATTTTCTAAAGGCGTTGCATGATATTTATATATTCTTCTTTAATGGTATTTTTAAGTGTTTAAATGTTTAAATGATGTGCTTTCAACGTACGTGAAACCCCATATATAAAACATTCTCCAATGTTTAACATTCTGTTTTATTTTCTTATATCACCACATATAATTAATATTTAAATATTTAATTTCTATTGTGTGTTTATTAAATCAGGTTACTTCAATAATTTTTAGTGAAACTTATAAAAATCAGTTATGGTTTAGAAATTTAACTACGTATTTTTAACAACAGTATGTATAATAATATGCTATCAGGAAGGTCCAAGATAGGCAGGAGGGTTTGCAATTGAACGGGACACATCAGCTATTGGCATTTGGTGATGATGTTAATTTATTGGGGGACGATATAAATACAATAAAGAGGAACGCAGAAGTTTTACTAGAGGCTAAGAGAAAGGTGGGGCTAGAAGGAAACTAAGTACATGTTAGTATCTCGTCATCAGAAGACAGGCGGGCAAAATTATCTTAGGGTGGCTAATAAATCCTTTGAAAGGGTTACAAAGTTCAAATATTTGGGAACAACAATAACAAATCAAAATGATACTTGTGAGGAAGTTAGGAGGAGACTAAATTCCGGAAATGCTTGCTACTTCTCAGTCCAAAATATTGTGTCTTCCCGTCTGATTTCTAAGAACCTGAAAATGAAAGTATACAAAACAATAATCTTGCCTGTTGTTTTGTATGGGTGCGAAACATGGTCTCTCACTCAGAGGGAAGAACACAGATTGCAGGTGTTTGAGAACAGGGTGTTGAGGAGGATATTTGGGCCTAGGAGAGAAGACAATGGGGCATGGAGAAAACTGCGTAATGATGAGCTTAAAAATCTGTACTCCTCCCCTCACTCTGAGGGAGGAACACAGATTGCAGGTGTTTGAGAATTCGGTGTTGAGGAGGATATTTGGGCCTAGGAGAGAAGACGATGGGGTCTGGAGAAAACTGCATTATGACGAACTTAAACATTTGTACTCCTCCCCTAATATTGTCAGGGTGATTAAGTCGAGAAGAATGAGATTGGTGGGGCATGTAACACGCATGGATGGGACAAGAGGTGTGCACCGGGTATTGGTTGGGAAGCCTGAGGGGAAGAGACCGCTGGGGAGACCTAGACGTAGATGGGAGGATAATGTCAGGCGGGATCTATGGGAGATAGGATTTGAAGGAGACTGGATTTTGTTGGCCCAGGACAGGGTCCGGTGGAGGGCTTTGGTTAGTTCGGTGATGAACCTTCGGGTTCGGTAAGCCATCTAGTTAGTTAGTATGTATAATAAATTAACGCTGATAGTAGAGTTACGTTACATAGAAAAAAAATATTTACGAAGCTGTTTACGCTTTGAATGTTTGGAAATAACTTAATTTTTCGCCATATCGAAAAGTCCTCTAAATAGAAGTTCTTAAGTCTTAATAAGGCTTTTATATTGTGCAAATGTGATTTTGATGAGTTGTTAATGTGAACCCAATATACGCAGTGGAAGTAGGAGGAATTTAAATAGGAAGAAATGGTTCAACTAGGACACGCGTGAGAGTTAGACAGAAAAATAATTAAAACAAGAATTCAACTCTACAAGTTCAGGAGAACACGATTCTGAAAGGATTTTAATTTAAACTTTCGCTAATAGGACCAGTGACGTCAGAGTCGGGTATTTCTCAACGTGGTTACGTTTGTGATTGAAGAGGGATTCCCCTCGAAGGATTCCCGCACAAAAATAAATGTAGGACCTTTCCACCAGGTTACAGTGTAGTCTTATAAAAATATATTCAATATTTCCTTTTGTTTTGTAGTTTACGAAATGACCTGAAAGGATGAGAATATGGGGGAGGGGTGTAACATACAGAGGGGAAAATATAAAGTAATATAAATTTTTACTTCGGAATTAAAAAATGGACCAGTCGGAAGACCAATGAGTAACCGGATTAATCATTTAGGTACAGATTTTGATGATATGGACTCACGAGCTGTCAATTCTCAAAGAATCTTATACTTGGAGTTAGTTGCATATACACAGTAACGTCTATATTCTTACATTACTATGTAAACAAAAATTACAAAAAAATTGCAAAATATATTACTACTTTTATAAGACTCTTTATTCATTAATATAACTGGATCGATTAAGCGATTCGATGGCTGTGTTATTACATAATATTTCACTACGTTATTTCAGATCTATCGTAAACCTTCATTGTCTCTGTATTATTTTTTCTATGTTCTGCGATCCGTTAAAAATTTATGATATCTATATTCTACACCAGCAATAAAAATTAAATACTTGTAAAAATGTCCTTATATTATAGCTTGTTAAATTTTACGAATATAGTCTGTGGATGTTAATCTTACGACACACTGATTAATCGATTCAGGAACTGCCAAATATTTCTGTAGTTAGTGCAAGGGTTACGGCGCTGATTATGAAAAGAACCGTTGGGCGCCACTGGGCAGCTGAACATCGGTCTTCAGCTGTTCCCTTGGTTTTGCAGGCAGCGTCATATACTCGTACGTTAGCAAGTATACCAGCTATTCGACGCAGAAACACGGCAGCTTCATATTTACATTTCTTCTGTCCCACCTCGAACACGCAGTCCAAAAACGCGTGGTTGGCGCTGTAATACATGAACACAGTGTTAGAAATAATCGCCTTTTACATTTAACGAAATTAACGTTAATTCATATGCCATAAAGAACACGTTCTTCTCAAAGACAATATGCATTACACGCACATTTTAATATCTTTCGATTAATAAGTACTGTATTGAATTTATAAACAAGTACAGGCAACTCTCGGTTTGCGAACGCTCGATTTACGAACATTCCCTATAACGAACGTCACAATTTATTCAAAAGTTCTTAAAGTCGCCAATAGATAGAGTTCTTTATAAAACGAAATGCTAAACGTATAGTGAACATAATTGTAAGATTTAAATAAATAAACTTTTAAAAATTTATTTATTATATTATCAGAAAATTATTATATGATAATTATACTGAACTGTTCTTGGATATTAAAAATAATCTAGCCGGTATAAAAACTTTGGTTTATATGCCACGCCGCGTAGAATATTTTCTCGCATAACACATACATTATAATATATTCAAACTTTTTTGTTCGCGTACCCCCCAGATATAATTTCTCTTCAACTTTGTATCCCCAAAGTTGTTGGTGTATAATTAAAGTTATACATAGTATATAATCTACATCTAAAATAAATTAAATAAATTACATTACTGATTATTCAGTGTTTATCATAAAATAATATATATTTTTTTAAATTTCACGTACCCCGTAAGATGTCTTCGCGTACCCCCGAGGGTTCGCGTACCCCCGGGGGTACGCGTACCCCAGGTTGAATACCACTGAACTATGTGACAGTTCGTAACTTTTTTTTACAACAGCCCTCTACTAGACATTTTTCTGAACACGATTAATCCATTCAGTACCTCCATACCCTGTTTCCTTTTATCTGTTTTAATATTATCCTCAATATATTACTACGACTAGGTTTTACAAGTGATCTTTGTAGCTCATATTTTCGAATGCAGTCCTCTTCCATATTGTCCTCGTTGATTTGATCATTCGATTTTAAAATGGCTGAATGGTATAAATTGTGAAACTCTTCATTATACAGAGTTCTACATTTTCACCTCGTGTCCTCTAGGTCCAAATATTCTTCGAACTACCTTGTTCTCTCTCAAACTATGTATTGCGTTGTCATGGATTGTGAAGCAGTGTAGTTTCGAAGCTGGTTACCAATGTTTCGGAAGAAAATATTTTCTTTATGTTCAAACAATTCAGCCCTGAACAGAGACTGAATGCGTTTCTCCTAAATGTAGGTATTTAACTACAATTCACATGACGATAATTCTCATAAGACCAACGTGGACACTAACATGGCCGCTAAAATCTCAAATTTTTATAAATGTACTTTTGTTTGTTGTAAGTGCAAATGTTTTAATAGTTTTGCACTGAGGTCCTTTTTGTTTCAGCCTTGTTTCGATTATTAAAAAATGAAAATTTACGTAAACTATGATAAAGATCCTGATGATGGAGTCAGCGAGAACCTCTGAAACGTTGATAAACGTCGAACATACTACACAGCACTACAACGAAGAACTCACCGTCGTGAAAAATCTCCAAATCCTACTAAGATAAAGATTAATTACTTATGGTAAAGCCGTGGCCAATCATTCCAAAATATTACTCATACTACGTGCAAAAAGGAGAATTTTAGGTTATTATAACAAGCAATTCGTGATATTTTTTTTCCAAAAGTTGGATGCACCGGTTAGAAAACATGACGTTTAAAAAATTTAAATGCTATAATTCATCCGTTTATGGTAATTAATACATTATTAATATTGTATAAGAAAAAAACAGTTAAAATACATAATCAGTCTTTAACATCTTTGCTAATTTCTTGAACGTAAATAAAAATTTGTTTCTGCAGATTCAAATCTGTTTTCACATCAAGACGTCAAATCTGAGACGTGTACCAATTAGCGAATAGTGTACTTCAGACATGGAGAGCTTATGAACGTAACTTCAAATTGTGCTGAGTTCGCGGAAGGAATTCTCACCCTGGAGCTGTTAGGCGTCTCCAGCCTTCTAACCATTGTATTTACAGGAATGCTGGTGGTTATAACCTCGGTTGGCGTGTTGTTTCACAATGGTCGGAATATATTAAGAGAATACTAGAAAATGCAGGCAGAAATAAGAGGACCTTTGAGAGACGTCATTACCACCACCCACGAAGCTTGTTTGAAAAGCATTAATTAATTCTCATTTTACGTTTTGTTCGTGGCCAACGTGTGTACTGTATTGACATGAACCTAATTACAATTATTCTCCGTAGGCCTGATTTCTCATTCTCCCTTGCGTCGAGTAAGAAGATGATTTTTCTAGGATGTGCCTTGTAGTCTGTTAGAAATTTTCCGACGTTTCAGAGGCACTTACTACATATATAATTTCCTTATTTTGTCTTAAATAATCAAGAGTTTAGTGAATCAGAAGAGAGTTCTTTTTGTTTTTAACTACACATTAAAGTTCAGGTTTTGATGTTTACGGATTATAGAAAAGTTTAAAAACAAATGTAAGAGTTTGGGTTAGCGTCATGTGACATAAATTCTATACTAAATTTCATATATATTGTTTAAATCTTGTCCGTCTAATCACAATAAATTCTTATTAAATATTAAAATATTACATTAATTAACATTTAAAATATTTAAAATATTAAATGATGTTCTTTATCGAAATATTGGATTTACATTAGACCATCATTTTTCACAGTGAAAATTTAATATTTTAAATATTTTAAATGTTAATTAATGTAATATTTTAATATTTAATAAGAATTTATTGTGATTAGACGGACAAGATTTAAACAATATATATTTATTATATCACAATATGACGCAACTTTACCATCTCACTAAATTTAATCAAAAACGTTTCAGTTAAATATAGAACTGTCATTAAATATTGTTTAATTTATACGTATATATACAAAACTAATTGTACTTTAGATATAAAACAATAGTAATCTGTAGTTATTTCTAGAATTATGAAGTTTTTCTGCTCTGAAGTACAGTTTATCTCGACTATCAGGAATCATATGCAGTCGGCGGTCTGTTATTGATCTATACTTAGTAGGAGACTTCGCACTGACTAACATATAAGATTTCTTGGCAGTGATTCTCATATACTTTTTGTAAAAATCGTCTGAAAATAAAAGTATCTTTCAGCATCTTACGTTTTTTTTGTCGAAAGATAAAATTTACCAGAACGTGGGTTGCGAAGGGTAGCCGATCTCCGCTGCAGCATCATTACAGAACAGCAGAGACGAGGCAGTGTTAGCTACGCGCTACATTAAAAGCCACACATAACAAGGAGGATACATTTAATTACCTCCTGCACCAATTTCTTGTCTTCAGGAGTACGCCTTAATGGCAGAACGTGTTAACGACGTATAACGATGTATGCATGAGAAACTACAAGCTCTCGTGTCTTTTAGATCGTCTTTATGTTTGATAGGGTGTTATATCATAGATAAAATTAAATTTATTTTGGGCTTTGATGTCTAAGATTAACGTCTTAAAGCCGCCAGCTTTGTTACAGAATTATAACAGCTTGTGAGAACACTTGAAATACGAGGTGCGATCGGAAAGTTTCAAGACTGTTTCAATAGCGGGCGAACCGGATGTAGTACGAGCTTCTGCCGCTAGGGGGTGCGGCCTACATTCATAGTGAATCAGTGTGCCAGCCGGCATCATCGAATTAGCATTTGTTTCTTAGTTACGGGCGTTTTGCTAGTGCATTACACCGACCCTCCTGCGATTTCGGAATGGCGTGGGCATCAAATTTTGCCAAAGACTCGCCAAAACCGCTACGGAAACCTATGAAATGCTAAAGCAAACATTTGGGGAGTCCGCAAACTTTTGTGTGGCATTCACGTTTTAAAAATGGCCGAACCCCTGTCGATGATGACGAGCGTTCTGGACGACCATCTTCGAGCACAACGCCCGAAAAAGTTACGAAGAT